TGTACAAAGTCATAAAATAGAGAAAATATTGTCATGAAGAATGCATTCTGTTCCTATATGATAGGTTGCCTGGGTTCTCTCATGTTTAGTGGCAAACTCGTTGCCACACTAACTACTACTACTAATGTAAATTATTGATTCTGTATTGTCAGGCATTGTTCTAATTGCTTCATGTGGATTTCCTCCTTCTATCCTGTGACTGTATAGTGAAGTAGTACAATTATCATCATTTTATAGATGAGAAAGCTGAGGCACATACAGATTAAATAATGTATTTAGGGAATTCAGAGAGTCATGGCTTAATTGGGATCCAAATACAGTTCTGGATCTGGAACCCAAGCCCTTAGACATTACATATGTTATACTATCTTTCAATTACACAATTACACTATTCTATTCCATGAAAAAGATGCATACAGTCACTGTGTAACTAAATGTTGGCATATTTTCATTTCTTGTCTAAAATTTTTTCTTCTGCACAAACTCTGTTGTGGATTTCAATGAATTTCTTTGGAACTCTATATTCTTTATCCCCATATTTCTTATCCTGGAAGACTTTGTATGGAGGACATTGGAAACTGTCCATCTTTCCATTTAAAAAAAAAGCTATCAGCTTCAACTTATTTAGGGATGCACTAAACTTGTTTTCCTAAAGGTTATTCTCACATAAACAGAAAATACATGCACACGTGACTCTGTCTTGTTAACGATTTTTATTTTTACATTCTATTACAATGTGTAAGTCTTGGGTATAACTGCAATATAATGTATGACAAAATCAAACATTTTGAGCATTCACAGATGTATGAAATTGTGAAAGAATTCTATGTAAACAGCATTATTATACTCATGGCTATTCATTTATTTTTATGAAGCAATTCTTGATATTTTCCTCAAGAATATTACATCATAACCACAGATGTTTTAAAAAAATGTCTCTATACATAGGTCCTAAACCCAGGCTCCTTCCTTGGCCCCTTCTAATTTAGCTGGCCCTCTTTTCATTACTTACAGTGACATTTCTCCAAAATTGCTATTTAAAACTGCTTTATTTACATGTGCATTTTATCTTAAATCTTTTTAATAAAGCTATCAAAAATCTATAAAATCATGCCGAACATTTTAGGTTGAGGTTTTCAACAATCAGCATCTAGAAACAGCCCACAAATCACTTATATCTTTTGCAAAAGATATGACAGTCAAAAAGGCAAAATGAGATTCTCCCATTGTAATTTCTCCAAATTGTACGTATGAATTTGTGTTCAAATCTTTATTTCCATTTGTGTTTGCTTTCATTTAGTTCTAATTTAAATTTTAGAGTGTAACTACCATTCTATATCATTAGGTAAAGTGAATTTAGTGATTATGTGATTTAAATATTAGTATGACAGTGCCTTCTGGACGTTGGTATCTCATTATCAGTACCAAACAGTACCTTACATGAAAAGCAAAGTCTAATTTTACTTTAAGCTTACACAGTACTAAATAAGCTCTTAATCCCAAATATTGTTTTTAATTGATAAAAAGTCACAACTAGACATTCCTGGGAAAACGTATATATACAAAACCTAACTATGTTATATTAAAAAAAATTATTGTTCAGCATGAAATTGGTTCAGCATGAAATAGGAGAAAAGAGGAAATTTGTAAATTGTTTTTGAAATGCTAAGAAGAAACTGTTGAGGAACCAGTTGCCAATATTTTTTACTTTACATAAAAATAAGGCAATGTAAAAACATTAATAGTAAATCACACAAAAACCTATCTACCATATATCTTTTCATAATATATAAATATGCAAAATGCAGTTATATTTATATGGGCTTAAAATAATGAAGGTAGACTGAATTTAAATCTAAGATGATATTAATTTCTTAATTTAATGTATTAAAAACCTTACAAATGTAATAGATTTTGTATGGTTCCCTAATTGTCAAAACCTATTTTCAACAGGCTTAACAGATATGCAATGCAATGCTCTACATAGTCCAGGAAAACACTGCATGGTATCTTTCACATTAAATAAAAAAGAGGCTCAAGTAACCTAAGATGAATGATTGAATGTAGGTGTAGAATCTTTGGCCCTAGATTTAATTTCATATGTACCTTAGGACAAATGTCTAGAAGTGATTATCTCCCTCATGGATGTTGTAAAATACATCACAATTTTAAAAGATTCAAGATACAAAGTTCTATGGAAATGTCTCTGTTTTTGTCTGTTTTTCTTAGTCTCTCCTCCTTTCTATCATTCTCTACCCATACTCTTCATCTCTATAGACATGTTTAAATCTCCTTTATTTTTAATTAGCCAGAGCAACAAAAAATATGTTGTATTTATTATAGAAATATAATTTATGTCCCTTTTTAATTTAGAAAAGCAAATGAATGATATGTACATTTGCTTTGAAAACTCCTACAAAATCTTCTAAATAAAATTACTTCCTACTTATGTAATTCAATTTTTGCCTATGCATAAGTAACTTGATAGAAGAAATATTTCGTATTCCTAAAATAAACTCATGAAAAAATGCATCATGGTCATTTCTTTTTAAGCCACTACCAACAAGGACTTTTTAAAGCTAGGCTTAAAATCCCTGGTAGGAGGACAACAGCTAAAGCAAAATGAATATGTGCTTGGTAAACTATAAGCTCAGGGTACTTTATTGATTGATGTAAAATATACCTCATAGTCATAGAATTTTAAGGTGAAGGTGACATTGTCCTCATTTTATAGGTGAAAGAAAAAGGTCCAAAAGGATTAATAGCACAAATTAGGAAAGTAGGTTAGTGGTAAGAAAGCAAGTTGGCAAGAATCCCCACTGAATGATCTTTCACTCATACTAAACACAAGTCTGTGTTGAAAGTATGTAAACCAATTTGACAATAAATTTCATAAAAAAAAAAAGAAATCCTGCCATATATTATGACTTGGAAGTCTGCCATACACACATTAGGATGGAAAACAGGTGATGCAGTAAATACTTTGCCCAAGTCATTATCTTCTCAGACATGTACCACAGTATCAAATAGGTTTCTGTACATCAGGAATCACTTCACGGAAGCAAAGTATCAACGTTGCTTTGTGCGAAAGAATGACTTGACAATACTGCATGAGAAAAAGCAGAAAATTGTGACCAAACAGATGAAGAGTTGGGTCATCACTGGTGTTTTTAGGCAGCACAGTCCGGTGTTAGTTTGTATAAATAATAGAGAATAACGTTTTCTTCACTTCCTCCTTTTCTTCAGTATCTTCACTTTTTTCTTCTTTTGAGGAATGCGATATGTACTTAAAATAATTTTTCATGTTGTATGGTTATTGTATGAACAAAGAAGGATATTTTAAAAGGTGGGCTATGAAGCACAATACTCTACAGGTAAGTCTTATCCTGGTTGGTCTATGAGTCAAGATGAATGAAAAGTATTCCTTGAAATGAATCGCCTACATATGTTTATAATCTCATGGCATTGTATAGGCACATGAAAATTGGTTCTGTTGCGATATAGAATAAATTTAAGCACCTCAAAATATAGAATGACTTCTGTACATGAAGAAGAGTCTTGCTCCTTAATATAACAAGATATATTAACTAAATATTTGTTATTAATGTCCATTCCTTGTATCAGGGTATTTCATTGCAAAGCCAAGGTAAAATACTTTTATAGATATCCAAATGATAGATGCATGTGTGCGGTTGTATTTACATGGGAAACACGAATATTTACCATTCTGTGAAAAGATGACAAGGCAGATGTGTACATTTTCCACATGGTCTTCTGATTTATTAAAAGCAAATAAAATTAAATCACCTTTGTTTGCTGTAGTCAATAACCCCTATAGAATATTCTTACAATTCTTACAGAATCATCTACCAGTGCAAACACAGCCATCTGCTAATGGTGCCCACCTATTTTAGGGAATCTGAGCTAGTCACGGCAATGCCTTTGAGACTATTTTGATGAAAAGTTTTGGCATAGACGTCCTTAAAAGAGTCTTATTAACACAAATTTATCACCTTCACAGGCTGTAAACAATATATCAAAAATGAAGCTCTATTTTTTGCTTTCTTTGCCATCTTTCCCTTTGTCTTCTTTTTCTGTTTTGTCTTTTTCATATTTCTCTTTGTCTGGCTTTGTTACACTATCATATGAAGGTGGAGAGACAGTGGATGGGGTTGCATCTGTTTTTTCTGGACTTGAGTTCTCATTAACGTTATCAAAAACCTTATCTTCTTTATTGGGCAAATCATCATCTCGGTTTCCATCTTTTATGTATATACTTGATATATTTTTGACATTTTGCCGTAAGCGGTAACGTCTGTAAGCACGCTGAATGACAGTAGCAGACACATCCTCTTGTTTTCGTTTTAGTGTAGTTGTTATGGGTTCATAGGACACTTTGGAAGGATTTGCTGACATGAACCTTTCTTCCATCTGTGAACGTAGAGAGTCCATCTCTCCGCTTTCACCCAGAACACGCTTTGTAAAAGCAAATAAGATGTCAAGACAATGGATCCGGTCCCCACTGACCATGGGCAGGTCCATGGCAATGAGCTGAACTTTGTTTGGTTTTGCTATGAGGAGAGGAGGATCTAGGGCAGCTGCAAAATCAGAGAGTTTGCTATATTCTATAAACTGGGTGGCATCAGGATCAAACTTCTCCCAAACCTCATAGAACATCTCAAAGTCATCCTCACTCAGGGGCTCAGTACTTTCCTCAGTAGCGACACTGAAGTTCTCCAGGATGACAGCGATGTACATGTTCACCACAACTAGAAATGATATGATGATGTAACTGACGAAATAGAATATCCCAACAGATGGGCTACCACAGTCTCCTTCAACTGAACTTCCAGGATGAACTTTTTTGGGGTCACAATCAGGGGGTGCACTGTTGAGAATAGGCGCTAGCAATCCATCCCAGCCAGCAGAGGTGGTGATTTGGAACAGGCAGATCATGCTGTTGCCAAAGGTCTCAAAGTTGAACATGTCATTAATTCCAGCTTCCTTTTTAACATAAGCAAAGTTGGACATTCCAAAGATGGCGTAGATGAACATGACCAGGAAGAGCAGGAGGCCGATGTTAAACAAGGCGGGAAGGGACATCATCAGAGCAAAGAGCAGCGTGCGGATCCCCTTCGCCCCTTTGATCAGACGCAAGATTCGACCAATCCTGGCGAGACGGATCACTCGGAACAGGGTAGGGGACACGAAGTATTTTTCTATCAGCTCGGCCAGAAACATACCTGGTGAGGAGGGAGGGGATAGAAATAGTTAAATTTCCATGCTACAGAAAATCATGACTTTAAGTATTTTTATCTGCCATCTTATCTCTTACGATTTCAGAACTGTCCTTTTATATTGAAAGCAATTTCATAACAATCAAAAGATTGAGCAATCCCAAAGGAAAATGAAATTATCATTGTGACATTTTCTCTCCTTTTACTAAGTTTGTGGACATTTTTTTCCTCCAAAATAATTTTAATTATAAGGGTAATACGTACTCATGTAGAAAGTTCAAGCAGTACAGTAAAATGCTAAAAAGGAAATATAAATCACCTGAAATATCACCAATTATAATCACTGTTACTATTTTGCTGAGTATCACTTTTGACATTTTTCTATGCAAGCTCACACACACACATTGTCACAGGAATATAATTATGTTATATAAGCATCTTTCATAATTATAGTCACTTCATCATATGTCATGGAAATATTTCCATACAAATGACAACAAAGTAATTTCTTATAGTTTTACAATGTTCTTTCCAAATAAACACATATTGAAGAAATTTATGTTGTTTTCGCTGAGATGAATATCCAAGTAGGTATATTTTTTCTAGTTACATGAGCATCATTTGATAATACATTAATAAAAGATCAAACATAATATTTAAAATTTTTTATCTATCACGAAATCTATCTCCAGAAAGTTTGTACAACTCCTCAGTTATATATGAAAGTGCTCATACTCTGCATGCTCAATTAGTATTGTAATTCTTTATAATTTTTACCAGAAAATCTTTATGATGTTTCAAAACATCTCATTATAACTTATTTCATTTTTCTTGGAAAAAAATCTACATTTTTTTTTCTTATTTATTGGATATTTTGTGTGCTTGTTGGCTGTTTTCAACTTTCTCTTTTGGCCATGTTAAGTCCTTTGCCCATTTCCCTATTGAGATATTTACTATTATTGATTTAGGAAGACTATTTTTCTATTGAAAGTGTTAATCCTTTATTGTTCTTGAATGTTACATAATTTTTTCCCCTGTATTTTGTCTTTCAATCTTTTTGTTTTGGGTAGAGGTAGTGGTTAGTTTTTGTCCATAGAATATTTTGCTTTTATGTAGACATAGTTGTTATTTTTTTCTTCATAGATTCAAATTTGTGAGATGACATAGGAAGGATGATTCGATTCAGGTTCATTGTTATAAATCTATTTCTTCTTGAATTTATTTTATTTTACATTTTAATCTTTTTTTTTTTTAATTTTTTTTTCAACGTTTATTTATTTTTGGGACAGAGAGAGACAGAGCATGAACGGGGGAGGGGCAGAGAGAGAGGGAGACACAGAATCGGAAACAGGCTCCAGGCTCTGAGCCATCAGCCCAGAGCCCGACGCGGGGCTCGAACTCACGGACCGTGAGATCGTGACCTGGCTGAAGTCGGACGCTTAACCGACTGCGCCACCCAGGCGCCCCTTTAATCTTTGATTCATGTGATTTTTCTACTGAGCAAATTATTTATCTTCTATATATTTGAAGTTAAATTTTGAATTATCTATTTGAATCTATTGAGCTTTTTAAAACACTGTTTTACTTCATCAGTGTTATAATAGTATAAATATCTAGCAATACTTTAATTTTCTTCCAGATGAATTTTATAATCATTTAGACTTATATTGCCATTATCTCCATCATGCAAAAAGACTTACTGATATTCTCACTGGGATGACACTTTATTTATAATTAATTTATTTTAAAAAGGGTCATGATTAGAGTGAAAGCCTTCTTATCCAAGTAAAAGAAAAGCCTTTCAATTATTTAAGACTTCCTTTATGTATGTTAGCTTCCTCATAGAAGTCTTATGCATTTCTTATTAAAGTTGTTACTAGATATTTTACTTTATTTTTATTGCCAATATGTGATATTTTTCTTTAGGTATACTTTCCAAAAATTTTGTCCACATATAAAACATTTATGAATATTGATACATGTGATTTAAAATTTATATCGGGGCGCCTGGGTGGCGCAGTCGTTAAGCGTCCGACTTCAGCCAGGTCACGATCTCGCGGTCCGTGAGTTCGAGCCCCGCGTCAGGCTCTGGGCTGATGGCTCAGAGCCTGGAGCCTGTTTCGGATTCTGTGTCTCCCTCTCTCTCTGCCCCTCCCCCGTTCATGCTCTGTCTCTCTCTGTCCCAAAAATAAATAAACATTGAAAAAAAAAATTAAAAAAAAATAAATAAAATTTGTATCTTCTGAAATCTAACTGAATCCATGTTTTTGGTGGATTCTCTTTCATTTTTAAAGAATGCCATAATATGATCTGAAGATGAAGATAACTGGCTCCATGTACCTCTCTGTTTTCTTATCTAATTGCATCAGCCAATACTGTTAAAAATAGAAGTGATAGAGGAACACTCTTTTCTTCTTCCTAATTTAATGGGAATGCTCCCACTATTTTGCTTGTTATTCCTCTGAGATTCCTAACTAAATTTTAATTCGTTTTCTTCTATCTTAATACTTTCTTCTCTTTTCTTCAAAAACTGGTTTTGAATGCCTCTTCGAAGTTACATGGTACTCAATAAGGAAGTTTTAGATCATATGACCTTTAACCCTTCTGGGACTGTTTTATCATCTATAAGTTGAATTTGTATTAAATCATCTCTGCAATCTTGTTCTGTCTAAAATTTGTAATTCTTAAAATAAATGAAACCCTAAAATACTGGGCAAAGCTTGTACAGATAATGAAAAAACAAGAGGACAGAAAAACAGCTATGGTAAAGGGGAGAAAGTATACAACCATGTGCTGTGATTCACAGACATGACAGAGGTTGGTTGAGAAATGATTGTATTGACAAGTCTTTGCCAAGTATGAAGCCATAAGAAATGAAAATGGCATTTCTTAAGACCTTACCTTCACTTTGAATTTAGAAAGAATTTTCACGCAGAGTCAGGGATATTCTGCTGTTAGTAATCATTAATCAAGGGACAGTTCTCATATGTGCTAAAATTGGAGGTGATTTCAGATTCTGCATTGGTCTTCCTACCTACATATAGGTCTTTCTACCTTCAACCCTACATATAGACGTAGTTGCTACTTCTGTGAAAAGTAATCTTGGAAATCAAATATCAAGAAGTATTACATGCTTGTGGCTTTGAGGCCTATAGCATAAACATAAGAATTCTGACACAGAGGTCTTTGTTTTATTTAGTTTTGTTTTTAAGTTTCCTCCATTCTTCATTTTACTAACATATCCAAAAGTAAATTTACATTCAAGAATTCAGAACCTTCTCTGAGCATGTGTGAAGTTTAGTTTGATTCAAAATGGTCTTACCTACAATGGAGAGAATCACAACCACAAAATCAAAAATGTTCCATCCTACAGTGAAGTAGTAATGTCTGAGAGAGATCAGTTTCAGCACACATTCTCCAGTGAAAAGGATAATAAAAACCACATTTATCCAATATAAAACATCAGTCATGTAGTCACTTTGTCCCTCTTTTTCTACCATCATGGTTACCATGTTGAGGCAGATAAGAACCATGATGGTGATATCAAACACTTGGTTTGTTACTACGTCAAATATACATCCTTGGAATTTGTTCTGTAAAGAAACAAGAATAATATGGAATGTAGAGTAAATTTTGCAAATATCCATTAATCATTATATTAGTAAAAGATTTTTTTAAAGTTGTGTCTTCAAAGTTGCATAAATTATCTTTCGTCATAAGTTCTTGATTCTACAAGAGATGAGTTGTATCATGAGTTAAATCATGAGTTGTATCATGAGTTAAATCAAAGTCAGAGTGAATGAAAAGTTTTTGTTGTTGTTGACTTTCAGTATATACCAAACAGACTTCAGTTGGTCATGTATACTAACATTTGCTTTTAAGCTCATCCAACCCTAGTATGTTATATATGAATTGTTTCAGTCACCAGTAATTTTTTACTAAAATACCTCAGCTCTACTACCCGTAGTATTTCAAGTTAATAAAATATCATGTCTCTAAATTTCTACTTTGCCATATTATTTTAACTAATGTGTTGCAGTGTCTTATATGACTGCTGTAGTATCAGAGACTTATATTTTCCTATCTCTTTCATGTATGGAATATGTATTTCCATACATATTCATACTTACAAATCACCTTTCTTTTCAGTCTCACTGTTAGTATTATGCTTTCTAGGAAACATAGCTTCTTCAAAATCCTTTTAGGAAAGGCCTTAAAGCATTTTACCAAGATCAAGTAGGGCATGCAAAAAATTAATACCAGGGTTTCAAATCCATAGATTGTGATTCAATAGGTCTGGCTGAGACCTGGCAATGTGTCCATTTAAAAAGTGCTGGGTGATCCTCATGTTGCCAGCTGGGTACTAATTGGCTTTTTCTTCAGCCATGACTCTTTGGCAAGGTGTGTTATGTTCAATACAAATTTAAATGCATTATATGCATTTAAATTATATGCATTTAAATTTTTTCCATTCTGGTCTTTGACTTCACAGTAGGAAAAAGTTTAGACTCAAAACCAGTCCAACTGCTTCTTTTGCTATTTGTTGCAATATTAAAAATCTTCATGTTAGTTTTACCCTACTGATAGACAGCAATCACTACATCATAAAGTCATTACTTAGATAAGTAAGTTTCAATCAAAATTACATTTTATTTGTATTCTCCACAGGCCACTGCACTAGTAGTAAGCTGTGTAGCTAATATAAAAGTAAAACCATATATAATTATTTGTAATTTTTATAGGAATATTAAGAACAGTGATAATGTTCAAAATACATATATTCAGTTTTATAAGGCCTTTTATTCAAATATTAGCATTCATGTTTAAGAACTAGTTGTCCGTTAAAGATGAATTAAAAATAATTGAAAATTTATATGCTAGAGATATATATGTAAAAATATACAGTTGCCCCTTGGACAACAGTTTTGAACTACATAAGTCCATTAATCATGGGTTTTTTAAAGATAAATACAGTGCAGTACTGTAAATATATTTTCTCTTCTTTATGATTCTCTTAATAACATTTTGTTTTCTCTAGCTTACCGTATATAATACAGTATGTAATACATATAACATGTAAAATATGTGTTCAGCAACCATTTAGTTTATCAGTAAGATTTTTGGTCAACAGTAGGCTGTTAGTAGTTAAGATTTGGAGGAGTCAGAAGTTGATATGCAGATTTTGACTGTGTGGAGGGTTGGTGCCCCTAACCCCTGTGTTGTTTTAAGATGAATTGTTTTTTTTTTCTTTTCTTTTTTTTTTTTTTTTTTTTACCCCTGGCCGAGGTATTGGCTTTTGTGGTTTCTTAGATCCCAGCTTTTTCATCGCATTATAATATTTCTTCTGTTCTTCTGTCATAAAGATGTCTTGACCTCCAAGGTAAAGAAATAAAAAAATAAATCTAGTTAAAATCAGAATCATGGTCTGGATCTTTCTTCAGATCATTAAGACAGGTTAAAAATGTATTAATATAGAAATAAAATGCATTTAATATGTGCCACGTAGCTATAAATAAAACCCATCTTAAAGAATTACTTACATGTAGGCATGTTATTCTCCATAAATAATGTAATGTGCATACGTAAAATATATGTATTACATATAATAATTATTGGCTCAATTTTCTTTTGGTGCAGTAACCCGTGTCATTTTAAACTATGTGCTGGTATTTCATTTTATCTGCTACCTATCTCAGGCATTTTATTGCTAGATTACAAACATATTAGGAAGAGTTATACAAAATAATACTGAACATCTTTTTTGATGATTTGGCTAATATTTGGGACTCTAGTGAAAAGTAGGGGCCAAAACCATAGTAAAAATAATTTTATGTTATTTGTATTCATTTATAAATGCCATATTTGTTTAGCACAGAAAAAGAATATACAGTAGTGCCCTCTTATCTGTGGTTTTGCTTCCTGTGGTTTCTGTTACCCATGGTCAACTGTGGTCTAGAAGCAAGTGATCCTCCTGGCATAGGTCAGAAGGTGAATAGTAACCCAAGGCTACATCACGATGTCTGCAGATAGTCACCTCACTTCATCTCATTACATAGACATTTTATCATCTCACACCATTACAAGAAGGGAAGTATAGTACAATAAAATATTTTGAGACACAGAGACGATACTCACGTAACTTGTATTATGGCATATTGTTCTATTTTATTATTATTGTTGTTAATCTCTTACTATGCCTAATTTATAAATTAGAATTTACCATAGGTATGCATGTAGAAGAAAAAACATGGTACATTTAAGGTTTGGTACTATCTATGGTTTCAGGCATCCACTGAAACATATGCCCTATAGATAATGGGTGCGGGAGACTACTGCACAGTGAACATGTAACACACAATATCTGTGTGTGTGTGTGTGTGGGGGGTGTTTGAAGAAACTTGTTAGATACTTTTTTCATTCCAATAAAGAAACTGCAATATAAGCAGGTTATTGGGTGTCAACATTATGTATAATAGTGTTGGAGGTATTGAGGAAATGACCAAGGATTCAGGATCCTTGACCTGAAAGACTTCCTAATTGAATAGACAACCTTTAAAATTCAACAGTAAAAATAACTAACTCTAAAGTTTTTTGGGGTCGCCTGGGTGGCCCAGTTCGTTAAGCATCTGAGTTTGGCTTATGCCATGATCTCATGGTTTGTGAGTTTGAGCCCCATTTTGGGCTCTGTACTGACAGTGGAGAGCCTGCTTTGGATCCTCTGTCTCTCTCTCCCTGTTCATCCCCAGTTTGCACCCTCTCTCTGTCTCTCAAAACCAACCAACCAACCAACCAACAAGCAAACAAACATTGGGGTGCCTGGTTGGCTCAGTCGGTTAAGTGTCTGACTTCAGCTCAGGTCATGATTTTGCCTCTGTGCTGACAGCTGAGACCCTGGAGCCTACTTTGGATTCTGTGTCTCCCTTTCTCTCTGTCTCTCATCTGCTCATGTTCTCTCTCTCTCTGTCTCAAAAATAAATAAACATTAAAAAAATTTTAAAAAGAAAGAAACATTGAAAAAATTTAAATGAAGGTTTTTGATCTTCATTTCACAAAGGGGGCTTAGAAGCCTTATCTGTTCTTTTAGGGTATGCCAATTTTCTTAAAATTATCTGTAATTTTTACAGATTCACACATTTTCTACATTGATGTGTAACATCAACTTTTTAGTTATGGGACAAATTAGTATAATCAATGTAATGGGGAATTTATTTTGAATAATTTTTAGTTCTCGAATCCTTACTTAATTTGTAGGGTTGGGGAGTTAAAGATCATCTGGTTATTGTTTCCCTTTAGTTTTCTTGGATTGGGCAATAGCTTTCTATTATACCGCATTTTAAAAAAATGTATCAAATACCTAATGATAACCAGACTCTGCTTTCTTTCTTTAAACTGTTTTAACTCACCTTTATTCTAGTTGATATACAGTCTTTGGTATTTATCTTACATATTCATGCTAGGTATCCAGGAGAGCCTTCAGGCCAGTGTTAAGAGAACTACTTATGAGCAGAAGCTGAATGCCATACCATGTCAAGAACTTACCAGAAGAAGCTAGGAAAACACTGGGAAGAGAACTCTGAATTAGAGGTAAAACTCAAAATGGCAAATTTTAACTTTTCTTAATGATACCTTGTTTGCCAAAATAATAAAAGGTGGGGATAAAACTAGGAGATTACAAAATGCTCTAATAGAGGAATTTGTGTTGTTTGGTTTTACTGTAGCTTTAGAGACCTTGTGCAAAATGTATCCCTTTAAAAGCTAGATGGAAGACACTCTGTAAATCAGGCTGGTCCTTTTCAATGTTACACACTATGTCAAGGCTGTGTTACTTAGTACTTAAGACTGTAGTTCTAGTATCAGATCATCTTTGTTCAAATCCTATCTCTGTTGTCCTTAGGCAAGTTTCTTAATCTCTTTAAGGATAAGTCATCTCATCCTTACAAGAGTAGCTATATCTCAGTTGTCTTGTTCTGAGGATCAACTGAGATCATGTATTCAAAGCACTCAGAATAATGCCAGATACACAAGCCCTCAATAATTGTTAGTTGCTATTACCGTTGTTGTTACTAACCTTCCTAATAAGGTTATAGCTACTAAAAGGGGTTCCTTTACTCAGAATTTACCCATACGTAACCAGGGCTATATTAGGTCTTTGTGTAAATATACTACATATTTTTCCCTTTTGTAACTTGAACCTATTAATAATTTGTGTTCTAATTTTCCAAAGTATGTTTTCTAATGAATTATTAAACTCAGTATCACATGAACTCATTAAAATGAAAACATTACTTATAGAAGTGATGGGCATTTGGAAAAACTAGTAAAGTGGGGTTGGTTATTAGAAGAGCTATGAGCTGAGACCAAAGCACTAAGTTAAAAAGCCTTAAGAGTCAAGAATACGCTGGGAAAAGAATATGGGCTTTGAAGTCAAACAGACCTTTGGATCCTGAATGCCAATGGACCTGTTGATTGATTTGAAACAAATTACTTATCCTTACCAGGCCCCAGCATATATACTTTTCTATAAAGATGCCACTTTCATTAGCTTGTCTGTGGATTAGATGAATTCACATACACAAAGTTATCTAGCAGAAGATCTCCTATGTAGTAGGTTAATTGAAGTATCGGTCCTGTTTCTTACTAAGGTGGAAAGAAACCGTAGGCCATTCAGAAAAGGTCAGAATATAAAAGGTATGCTTAAATTGCAAATTAAATACTAGAAGAAATGTAGGGGATAGTGGTAGTTGGCAGTGCTTCTAAATTAGTAACTTTTGCCTGACAGTAATGGTAATGGTGTCAACCGATCCTATCTTCCTCCAGTGGCAATTCTTGTAAGAGTAACATTTAAAAGCAAGAAGATTAAAGCAGTTAGGGTTGTGGCTGTCCTGTCCATGGTCACATGGCTTTATCTAGATATATGTTTGATTGATCCTATACAGGGAATATTGGGGAATCATATGTATATGCTTATATACCATATATACACATATATAATGACTAAAGTTGAAAAAAAATAAATTGAAAATTAGAGTATACTTTGTAAACTTATTTTCAAGGTTAATTATCAATTTTTAGAGATTCTCTGTCTAAAGCCATGAATATATGATAATGTTAGCTAAGTGTGGCTCTCAGATATTAAATGTAAGAATGGAAGATGGGATTTTCAAAATATCTTTGAAAATAACCTATATTTGAAAATGTAAGCATAAATAACATTTAACATTTACTAAATTTCCTTCCAATTGTGAATATCAGTCACGTACAATAATGACATTTCATTTCTTGTACATCTATCTTTTCTTAAATGCTAAGCCAGTATCTAAAATGACTCCCTCTTGGAATCCTACCCCTTATCTTGGAAAGATTTCTTTTCCTGTGGGTGGTGCTACAGTTACAGTAACTCAGCCAACTTTGACAGGAAAATTGAGACTTCTTAGATGATTTATTCTCTTGCAAATCACAGATAATACTATAGACTGTACCCACTACAGGCTCTTCATTGAACATATCCTGTATTCCCCATTGCTGCAAATGACTAATGTGGAGACTTAAATGTGGTCCAGGTAGCAGGTAATGCAGAATCTGACCTAGTCTTGGGTCTCTCTTCAGTCATTCTACGCATCATTGCTGGATTCAGTTTTTAAATTAGAACTGAGTTTTCACAGTCCCTGGAAGAAGAGACTCCAGAGTTGGATCTGTGATGAGACTACTTCCTAACTGTCGGATCACACGCAAGTAACACATCCTCTCTGACAGGGGAAGTGGTGATATAATGCCTTTTAGGTTTGCTGTAAAATGCGACTAAGATTACACATGTGGAGTACTTTACACAGAATCAGACACATCATCAAGTCATAATAAATGCCACTGTCCTGCCTATATGTGCTCCCTTGCTCAAAATACCTCAATGACACATCAGCTCCTACTGAAAAATACCTAATATGGCTTTTCAGATCTGCTCTCAGGCAAGACTTCATCTTGTACTATTTCTCTTTTTAAAATTCCATCTCAAAACTCCATTCAAACTGGATGGGAGGCTATTCCTCCTGGATTACTTCCTCTTATGTCAGCCCTATGCATGTGCTCACACATTTCTCTATCCCTCCCTCTGGATTATCCATATTTCTGCCTCTCAGTCTCTACATGTCTTCTTATTAATCTTACAAAGCCCACCAATTGTCACATAAATGTGTTTTTTTCTATTTATATCTATTTTTTCTCTGTCCATTTATTTTGTTGTTATTATTGTTGCTTTTGTTAATTTTTATTACACTTATCACTGTTTCATATTATAGTATTTAGGGATCTGGCATAGTGCAGGGGCTAAAAAATATATGCAGTACATGGGATCAACTACTGACCTTATCAGAACTATCACTTACTAGATGCATGATCTTGGGTACATCACTTAACCTTTTTGTGGCTGCCCACGTTTATCAGACAAAGTCAATAATAATAATAATAATAATAATAATAATAATAATAAATTTTAGGGTGGATATTTTAGGTTGAATTGTGTCCCCCCAAAAAGATATTTTAAAGTCCTAGCCCCTAATACTTCAGAATTACCTTATGTGGAAATGGAAATGTTGTCATTGTAGATGTAATTAAATCAAGGTGAGGTCATACTAGAGAAGAGTGAGACTTTAATCCACTATGACGAGTGTCCTCATAAGTAAAGGATAGAGACACAGAGAGGGAAAACACTCCATGTGACCATGGAGGCAAAGACTAAAGATATGCTGCCATAAGGCAAGTAACACTTGAGCTACCAGAAGCTACCAGAAGCCTTCCCAAAAGGCTCTAAGGAGAGCATGGCCCTAACAAAACTTTTATTTTGGACTTGCAGCCTCCATAACTGTGAGAGAATAAATTTCTGTTGTTTGAAGCCACCAGTTTGTGGTACTTGGGTTATAGGAGCCTTAAAAAATTAATACAGTTGATGTGAAAGTTAATGAAACACAAATCTCAGGAAAGTATCTTACTTGCAACATTCAACAAATCTTAATTTCCACCACATGTATCATTGCTTCTGCTATGATACAAACTCCCTGAAGTCAGGAAACATATCTTGTGCTGTTGTCCATCAAGGGCCAGCCCAATGTATACCACACAGAGCAGTGGCTCAGAGAATGAATGAAGTAACTCCTTATGAAATATGCTTTGAATGAACAATTAGTGCATTAATTTTTCTTAATTAGTCAATCCTCTATAGCGAACATTGACAAAAACTCAATACTTGTCATATTGCTTAAAAATATGACAGAAGATAATTATTTTCTGTGCAGAGATAAATGAGATTAAGCATATCTGTATTCAATTATTTAAAAAAATAAATGAAGTTATAATGAAGCTAATCACTAATTGGTATCAAATTAAATTTCAAATCATATTTTTAGGAAAATAATTGTTCATATTTTTCAGTACAGTAAAAAAAAATCCTTAAAATACTTATCTTTTTTTTCTGTTGGTTGAAATTATCTATGATGACACCAATGAATAAGTTCAAAGTGAAGAATGATCCAAAGATGATAAAGATGACAAAATAAATATACATGTAGAGGCTGTATTCATAGATGGGCTGCTTGTCTACCTATAAGATTAACAGAAGTTAGCAGCATATTGACAATAACATTAATGATTTTGTTTTTTTCATGGTCTGACAAGTTAATCCAGACAGTGCTATCCTTGGTGAACTTGGCTTTTCAGAAGCCATTGCATCTTGAGGATCAGCCTAAACCTTCTTAAAATTTATTCAACATTAAGCATTAAGCGTTAAGCAATAAATATTTATTGCATGCTTACTATGTACATGAATATAATCTTCAAATGACTACAAAGGACTTAACCATATGTAGTACTTGTTCCCAGATTGGTAGGACAGACAATCTGGTAACTAACTGAACTAAAGTATGTTATTTATTTCCAGAAAAAAAAACTGTAAAGAATGTGATACCATATTTATATAAATTTTATTGATTTTTTTTTTCTTCATTTGATTACACAAATGTCTTCACTGGATTTAATTTCTTAGCATGGAACTCATTTCACATAAACTCTTCCAGAGCATTTTAAACATAAAAACAACAAAATCTATGAATAAAAAAAATTAAAACCCATGAATAACTTATGATATTTAATTTTTATTTTGATAAATGTATTTATTGAGCACTTATTGCCAGGGTGTGCAAAGTGCTCTACTTACATTTTCTGGTTGGTTCCTCAGAACAATCCCATGACACGGACAGTAATTTTTTTTTTCTTTTTACAGCCAATAAACAAGCTGAGAGAGGCAAAGTAATTTGCTCAAAGTCAGTTACAGAGCTTATATATGATAGACCCAGAATTTGAGTTAAGCTCTGTCCCCAAATGCTGCACACGTCATCACTAGGCTATTATTGGGTGGAAGGAAGTTCTTCATTTTGTGTGTACGTACCAAGGGCTCCTTGGAGCTACTATTTGAAAATGGCTGACCTAAACTCAGGAGCTTTAAAAACTGTAGATTTGTGTTATATTGACCAATACTTACATTAACAGAATCAACAGCTGCATACATAATATCCATCCATCCCTTAAATGTTGCCTGT